CAACATAACCAAGCCTGGGGTTCAGGAAAGCTTCCTGGAGGAAGTGATACAACCTGAGATCTGAAAGCTAAAATAAACCAGAGAGGGGCAATCCACTTCCCAGTTCCCCTTCTGTCTCTCTTAGACTGAAGCTATCTTTCTCTCAATAAATTTTTCCTGCTCTTCAAAAATAAAATAAAATAAACCAGACATGCTGTATGTGCTGAGTCAGGATGGAACGACAAGGACCAGGTTTATTTTTATATTTTAAGTAACTAGAACTCTGAACCATATTTTCAGACACTGAACAATAGTTAGCTTAGGACTGTGATCCAGAGAGAAAGGAAACAGAAGTAAGTTCTAGAACTGCCTCCAATTTCTTCCTGGAGGTAATTCCAGACCGCAGAGCAGAGAGGGAGATGCCACTAAAGAACAGCGGTCTTGCTAAATGGATGGGACAGAGATCAGGGCTGAGGCAGGGTGAGGTGGCTAGAAATTGCCAAAGTTCTAGAGAGGAAGGAGTTCTGCAGAAAGAGTTCTCCTGAATCCTTGTTGATCATGAAGGTGTACATTCACAGAGTAAAACTTCCTAAGGCCAAGTAGTATGAGGCATTGAAGTCAGTGCCTCAGACTCTACACTGTTCCCAGATGGTCCGGAGGACCAAGTTAAAACCAAAACAAGTGGACAACTGTTGTTAACCATGCAGGAACTCAGTAGACATAAGGGGTCATGCTTAGGGAGAGTAAATTACTCTCTAGACTAAAGTCTACTTGAAACTATCCCTGGCAGAAATCATAAACAAGCCTCACATGGATTAAACTCAACCACAGATAACTTCACTATCTACTAGAACAAAGCTCAACACTCATTAAAGGAAGATCATTGTAAAATCCTGCCACTCAACATAAAATTCACAATGTCTAATATCCACTCAAAAGTCACTAGCTAGGCTTCAAGTGTAGCTCAGCAGTAGAAAATTTGCCAAATCCCGATCACAAGGTCCTGCATCCAATCTCCAGCAGCATCAGAAAGAAAGAAAAGAAATTACTAGTCATGCCAAGAAGCAAGAGACCCTTAACTATGTGAAAAAACAGTCAACAAAAGCAGACTCAGAGACTACAGAAATAATGGAATTAGCAGATAAGAAAAATATGAGCACAGTAACAAGAAAAAGGAAGGACATAAGAACCAAATGGCATATCTGAATGTGAAAAATATATTTTAAATGAAAACTGCTGGATGGAACCCAAAGCTATTTAAGACTGCAGATAAAAAGATAAGGGAGGAAACATGGCAGGAGGAGGGTAGGATGGAGAACAGAATCAAAAAGAATTTTGGTGGCCTATGGAACAGTTATCAAGTGACCAAATGTACATGTATTGAAATCTCAAAAGGAAGGAAGAACATTAAGACACTACAAAGATTAGCATTCTGCCTCTAAAAAAAGTACAAGTCAGCCAGGTATGGTGGCGCACACCTGTAATCCCAGCACTTGGGAGGCTGAGGCAGGAGGTTCACTGTGAGTTCGAGACCAGCCTGGGCTACATAGTGAGTTCCAGGTCAGTCTCAACTACATAGTGAGACCCTGTCTCAAAAAAAAAAAAAAAAACACACACAAACAAATAAAAAAGTACAAGTCCTAGCCGGGCATGGTGGTACATAGCTATAATCCCAGAACTCTGGGAGCCTAAGGCAGAAGGATAAAATATTTAAGCTCAGCCTGGGCAACTCAGAGATTTAACATGACCCTGTCTCAAAAAAAAAGAAAAAAAAAAAAAAAGATCCAAGATCCTGTCTCAAAATTTAAAAAAATATATATTTTTTTAAATATGGTGCTAGAGATACAGCTCGGTGTGTGGCATATGAAACAACCGCTGCTGAGATGAACAAGTGGGGTGAGCTTGTGACTCTATATTACATTTGGTATTTCCTGCCAGATGCTGCCTGATTTGACCCCTTTTCTGACCTCTACCACACACACACACACACACACACCTTTTACTCCTAATCTCTAAGAGACCAGCAATGGAGTAAGGCTCAGATGAGCTAGCAAATGTTTTTTTCCACACATGCATTGACAAATTTTTTTTCCATTGATATGATTTTTTTAAGGTTGGAAGTATAATAGGTTAGTTTAAAAATGTCACCACATCAAATGGGCCGTGTCAAAATCCCAGCCTCCACCAGGAAAAGACTGTCAGGAAAGCTACAGGACAGGGATGGTTCAAAGCCCTAGCCCTACAACAGTGTCTCCTGCTGACCTGTGCTTTATATTCAGCCCTAGGGGAGTGACTGGTGGACTCTATCAGAGCTCTCAATAGAGTGTAGGAGCCAAACCCAGATTTCAGAGTACTGAATGGTGACAGGAAGGGAAACAGTGAGTAAAGCCTGTGAGTGTGGATAAGTCCTTTAAGGTGTCTGGCTATGATGAGACAACAAATGGGAGAGGGTAAGTAGATGGGGCATATTGCTGAGCAAGGGTCTCCTTGACATAGAAGAATGCAATGGTATTTAAGCTCTTGCCTAGAAGCCAAACCCAAACCCTACCTCTGGGCAGAAGGAGGTACAGAGCCCTGAATATATCCCTATAGCCCCTCCAATACCCCTATAATCATTCCCAGTGATGCCACCCAAGGTGGGCACGTGGGCCAGAGCCCTGGCGGGTGGTGTGGGGCTCCATGGAGACAGAAATAGATCGGGATAAGAGTAAGGCTGGACACTGTGCTGCCTTTACCTTTGCCCAAGATGTCCAGCCACGTGGGGCCTGGCCAAGCACTTGGCTACTTCCTGCTGAAAAGGCCAGGCATTGAGAGAGGAACTGTCACCGGGCACCTTTGGACAATCACCATGACAACCACAGGCCAGGCTTTTTATTCTAGTCATTGCCTGGGAGTGGTCCTCCCACACAGCCTGTTTTCCAGTGTTACGGGCTCATTACTATACAGTTTCCCGCTCCTCCACCTTCATCTTGCAAATCAAGGTTCATTGGTTACTGTCTTTCTCTGCCACCTGGCTGGATGTGCCCTGAAGTGTCTGAAATAGACTCCACATAGGTGCACAACGAATGGTCTGAAATAGAAACGGAGCCAGGGCGTTAGCTGTTTTTGCTAATAGGCAGATCAAATTACTACGAAATTGGAAGAAAACTGCCTGCGTTAGACGTCTACACACACAGGATTGAATACAGTACAGGTTCCTGTACACAAAAGTCTGTCTCACATCTGGACTGCAGACTAAGGGGGCAAGTTGGATGTTAGTTCAGTAATACCCTCTGGTGATGCATTAAAAAAACAAAACAAAAGGAAAAAAAGAAAAGGAGGGAAGGAAAAAGAAAGTATTAAATTTCATACACTGCCCTCAAAGGTGTTTTCTCAGTTTCAGATCCTTAGCTATTTTACTGAGTGGAAAGTCTTGCACTGTAAGGGTTTAAAAGAATAACATGAGCCGGGCATGGCGGCACACACCTGTAATTCTAGCACTTGGGAGACTGAGGCAAGAAGATCGTTGCCAGTTCAAGGCCAGACTGGGCTACACAGTGAGATCAAGGACAGCCTGGACTACACAGTAAGATCCTGTGTCAAAAAAACAAAACAAAGCAAATAATAATGTTACATTTCCATATGTCTCAGAAAATGCTTTTTATGGTAACTTTTCAGATGTCTACGAATAAACCCATGTTTTTAGACATTGATAAATTCTTTACTTCTGGGAATAGTGGTGCGCACCTGTAACCCCAGAACTGGGGAGGCTGAGGCAGGAGGATCATTGCGAATTTGAGGCCAGCCTGGGCTACATAGTGAGCTCAAGGCCAATCTGGACTATATAGCAAGACCCTATCTCAGAAAAACAAAACAGGGCTGGGGCTTTAGCTCAGTGGTGTTGCTGCCTGCCTCGCAGGAGTTCGATCCCTGGTACCAAAAAAAAAAAAAGAAAGAAAGAAAAAAAAAAAAGTATTTTCTTCATGTGCTATTTTATACATGAACACTTCAGATGTATTATTAGGTTTCTCTAGTCTCATCCTATTAGATGCATACCAACTAGTTAAATGTTCTACAATATTCTGCCTTTTGTGAATCACTACCTTTTTGTTTAAAAAGATGGCCTAAGCCGGGCAAGGTGGGTCACGCCTGTAAACCCAGCACTTGAGAGGCTGAGGCAGGAGGATTGATGTGAGTTCGAGACCAGCCTGGGCTACACAGTGAGTTCCAGGTCAGTCTCAAATACATAGTGAGACACTGTCTCAAAAAACTAAAAAAAAAAAGATTAAAAAGATGGCCTACCTGAGCATTTGTATAGGCATGTTCCTGTTTTGTGACAAAAGAAAAACTTTAAATTGTCTCAAATAGAAAAATAATGCAGTAGGCTGGGGACTTAGGTCAGTGGTTCTGCCGCCTGCCTTTCAAGCTAAAGGACCTGTGTTCAACCCCCAGTACCAAAGGGTGCGGTGGGGGGAGAAAGAAAAATAATGGCTATCAGAAGTACTATATGTTTTGTTTTAGTATGAATTATCACTGTGTTTATTATCGAGGAGGACATTTAGCATTCCATGTAATTAAAGAAAGTAATTAAAATTAAATAAAAAGAGCTGGGGAATCACTAGAAGTAGAGAAGGGCAGTGGAGGTGCCCTGCAAGGTCAGAGCGGATGGGGACAGGAAAGTCTGCCTTCTGGGCTCCCTTCTGTAGGCCTGTCCACTCCTCCACAAGCAGGCTCAGGATGCTGCAGGGAACATGGCCAAACCCAGACCCAGCGACACACGATCCAGTGAGTGAGTCCAAGAGTAGCTGGGCCCATTCATCACCCCACACACACCAGAGGACCACGGACTACCCTTATTCACAAGATAACAGGCCCTTGCTACCCAAAAGGAAAAGACAGATGGTGCACCCCTGTAATCCCTGCACTTGGGAGGCTGATGCAGGAGGATTGCCTCAAGTTCAAGGTCAGCCTGTGCTATGTAGGGAATTCCAGGTCAGTGAGACCCTGTCTCAAAAAAAAAAAGAAAGAAAGAAAGATCTTACCAAGCCAGGCATGGAGGCGTTCATCTGTAATCCCACTGACCTGGGGGACTGAGACAGGAGGATTGCAAGTTTGAGGCCAGACTAGGGAATTTAGCAATTTAGCAAGACCCTGTCTCAAAAGAAAAAAGGGCTGGGCACATAATTCAGTATGAAGGCCCTGGGTTCAATCTCCAGACCAAAATTACAACAACAACAACAACAACAACAACAACAGTAATAATATACCAAAAAGACATAAAAGGCATAAATAGCCCCATTTTGCAGATCGGGAAACAGTTTCAAGAACGTTGGAAGAGCTCCCCTCTACCACACACACACAGGCCCCGAGGCCTCTCCCGCTGTGGGCCCATCTCACATTCTCACATCAGCACTCAGCTCCCCTGCAGCTCCCTGGGCAGCTCCCGCCCCACACCCCCGTCTCTGTGCTGCCCACCTGGAAGAGCTCCTGGACCTGTGTGTCCACCCACTGCTCCATGTCCAGCCAGCGCTGCAGCTGCCCCCGGTCATACTTCACCGTCAGCCGGCTGGGCCTGCGGGACCTGGCCAGCCTGCAGGGGTCTGTGTGGGACCTGGCCTCCGAGTCTGTGGATGACGTCCTCCTCCTCCCCTGTGAAGCCCACTGGACCTTCTTGCTCGGGTTCTCCCCGTCTGGGTTGGGAGATGTGCAGGAAGCAGGGCTCGGTGATAGCATGGAAAGACCGGCCTGGGCAGTGAGCTAGGGAAATCAGCGGTCAGAGCAGGAGCATGGACGGCAATGAGGAGGGAGAGGCCCACAGGAAGGAGGGAGGTGGAGGAGGGCCAAGGATGCTGGGGAGGGGAGGGATCAAAGAGCAGCAAGGTGTTGGGAACTGCAGGCTCCTGCTCCTCCCTGCCGGAGAGTGGCACTCCAGAGCAGAGTCCCAGCCTTCCTGCAGCTGTGGGGTCCGCAGTGACAGAAACTGCAGCCAAGCAAAGGCCAGAGACTGCCAGACCCCGGAGGAGGAAGGAGGGCCTCTTGGACCCTGAAGGGTGCGGTGCTCCACAGTGGGCTCAGGGACAGGACCCAAGTCATGCATCTGGGAGCCCTCTGTGCGCCACCATCCTGGGCCTAAGAGCCGCTCTGGGTCCAGAGCAACTGTGCTCAGCTGGTCCCTAAGGAACAGGGTCTGGGCTGGTGAGGGTCCCTACTCAGCGTGCTCCTCTAGGGCAGTCTCCACAGTCCATGGAGTTGGAGGGTGGTTCCCTATGGACCACCAGGGTTAGTGCCCACTGGGTGTGTCAGAATGGGGCTGCTATCAGCCTGGCCTGTGTGCTACTGAAGTTTAAATTACTAAACCAGGTCCACTGTGCCTGAGCCCCAGGGGCAACAGCAGAGGGAGCCATGTTTATTGTCACATGACCTTCCCTTATTCGGCTCCTTTCAGACACAGGTGAAACACAACTCCAACATCAGCTCAAGGGTCAAGGATGAATAAATACTTTGCCAGGGATTTAGCTCAATGGTGCCACACCTGCCTTGCAAGCCCAAGATCCTGAGGTGGGATCACCAGTACCAACAAAACAAATAAACACTTCTTTTTTTTTTTTCTCTTTTTTTTAGTACTAGGGATCCCACTCAGGACCTTGCATTTGTGAGGCAGGTGCAGCGCCCCTGAGCTAAATCCCTGGCCCTAGGATGAATTAATACTTCTTGACATACTTGTATTCTAAAGGTGCTACAGTTGAACAGGTCGATAATAATCCAGGTTCCTGTGCACGAAGAGGAAAGAATTGCCAAGTCTACGCCCCGTAGTGAGTAATAAGCAGCTATTATTGAAGATCACAGGAAGTTGTGCCCAGGGCCAGTCTGTGCCAACAAAGGTATAACTCAGACCAGGAAAGGTGCCGGGCAACAGAAAAGCAACAGAAACAGGAAGAAGGGGGGTGGCGGAAATGCAGGCTTCCAGAATTGAAAGACCACACACCTCTGTTTTAGATGCCTCCCACTGACCCTCTAGGTGTGATTGACAGGGATGACTGACAGGGTGCTACCTATGTGGAGACAAAGGAATTCTTGCCCTGACTCATCTATGAATTCAAGGGAGCTGAACTTTTTCTCCAAAGATTTTTTTGTTGTTGTTGTTACTGGGGATCTAACTCGGGATCTTGCACTTGCAAGGCAGCTGGCTGCACCACTGAGCTAAATCCCCAGCCCTCCAAGGATTTCTTGATGAACTGCGGATATGGAAGCAGGTTCTGATCTTGAGCCATGGTATCACCAGTACTTTGATGGCTGTCAAACAAGAGAAGGAAAAAGCCAGGAGTGGTGGTATGTGCCTGTAATCTTAGCACTCAGGAGGCTGAGGCAGGAGGATCACTACAATTTCAAGGTCAGCCTGAAGGACACAGTGAGACCCCGTCTCAAAAAAGAGAAGAGGGCCTGGGGATTTAGCTCAGTGGTGCAGCCTGCCTCTCAAGCACAAGGTCCTGAGTTCAAGCCCCAGTACAAAAATGGAAAAAAAAAAAAAGATGAGGAAGAAAGAAATTTGACTACAAGATTAAGTGTGTAAGATCTAAATACAGTAAGTTCTTGGGGCCAGAGATGTAGGTCAGTGGCACTGCACCTGCCTGGCAAGACAAGATCAGAACCCAAAATGATCAGAAGCAAGAGGAAAAGCAGTGGTGATGTGGAGGGGACAGCTAGGATGTGCAAAGCAATATACAGTGAATATTTGTGTCAAATGTATACAAGACTCACTTTGTCAGACCTACAAATGAATCCAACTTACATTCTCCTGGAACTGAACTCATTCATAAATCAGGGACTTACTGTAACAATATTATGAGAAGCATTAATAAAGGCCATGTCCAGGGAAGTAACCAAGACCCCTAATTCCAGATATTTGGCCAGGACATCCACGATTCAGAGAGTTCTTCACAGCCAGGGATTTAGCTCAGTGGTTCCACCACCTGCCTCACAAGTGCAAGGTCCCGACTTCTATCCCCAGTAAAACAGAGAGCTCTTCACAAATCTTGGAAGCACAGTCAGCTAATTTCTGTGCTGCAACCTTCACTAAGTTCAACCTATTCACAGCCCTTTGGTTTTACTGTTAGGAGATCTAGTGCCCTGGGATGTTGTACAGCTACTGCTGCTAGTCAGTCTGTCTGGTCTTGAAGGGTGGCAATACTCTGGGCACACCTGTCTTTCAACAGGTGGCTGTTGAGGCTAGGAGAAAAATGTGATTAGCTTTAAGGTCTCATCTAAGCAGTCACTGTTTGTTGTCTTTATGAGAGGCAGCCTTTGAATAATCCAGGAGGATCCCCAAAGAAACAGAAAAAAAAAAAGATGTCATGTTATAACTTGGAGCAGGGACCTTAAGCAAACAAGACAATAACAAGATTAGTCACACAATTTACTTAGAGGGAACAAACCATTTTGCTTGTCTGGTTCAACAGAGTAGCTGGTGTTTTCTTTTCTGAAAGGAAACTTGAGATTTTCGACAGTTTCATAGGCATAGGATGTTGTTCATAGTCTCTCATTTTCATCTTCTGGTGTCTCAGGCTTGGGCTTTCTCCCGGAGAGGTGAATCCAACTATCTGTTTCCTGTACCTAAATAGTTTTATATAGTTGAGTGCACTACTACTGACTAACATATATGTTTATGATTGTCATCCCTTCCTCGTGGGTTGTTCCCTTTGCAAGGATGTAGGGACCTTCTTTGTCTCTCTCAGCCAGTCTTAGCTTGAAATCCACTCTGCAAAGAGAGTAGCTACTCCTGCTTTTGTCCAGGTTGCTGTCACACAGAGCATTGTTTTCCATCCTTTGACTTTCAGTCTATGAATTTTTCTTGAGTTTAATGTGTTTCTTATGTGCAGCATATTCTTTTTTTTTTTTTTTTGAGAAAGGGTCTCACTACATAGTTGAGTCTGACCTGAAACTCACTGTGTAGCCCAGGCTGGTCTTGAACTCTCAGCAATCCTCCTGCCTCAGCCTCCTGAGTGCTGGGATTACAGGCATGTGCCACAATGCCCAGCTTGTTATTTATTTATTTATTTAGAATTTTTTTTTTAATAACCAGGGATTGGACTCAGGTCCTTGTGCTTACTAGGCAGACAATGACTGCAGAACCAGTGAGCTAAATCCCTGGGCCATGTGCAGCATATTCTGCATCTTGCTTATTGAATCATTCTACCAGTCTGGTTTTTTTTGGGGGGGTTGTTTTTTTTTTGTTATTTTTGAGACAGGGTCTCACTATGTAGTTTGAGGCTGACCTGGAACTCACTGTGTAGCCCAGACTGGTCTCGAACTTACAGTGGTCCTCCTACCTCAGCCTCCCGAGTGCTGGATTACAGGTGTCACCACACCTGGTTTACCAGTCTGTTTCTTTCTTTCTTTTTTTTTAAATAATGTTTTCCCCTATACCACGGATTGAACTCAGGACTTTGTGCTTGCTAGGCAGATGTGGTACCACTGAGCTACATACCTGACCCTTTTAAAATACATTTTATTTTATACCATTCCCTCTTTTACCCCCTTCCCCTGCCTAGTACAAAAGCTTTGTTTCTATTTTTTCCTTCTATTTTTATTTTTTTCTTGTCCCTTTCTTCCTTTTTTCCTGCCTCCTTTCCTGTTCCCCTTCCCATTTGTTTTGGTTTTTGGTACCTGGGATTAAATTTGGGACCTTGCACTTGTGAGGCAGATGGTGGCACCACTGAGCTAAATCCCTGGCCCCCTCCCTCTCTCATTTGAATGCTTTCTTCCCATTTCCTGACATCCATTATACATTTCAGTCCTTATTCCCACTTTCAGTTCCTCACACCAGAGAAATGATGCGTTATTTAGACACGTGTCTGATTTATTTCACTTAGGGGTACGGTCTCAAGGTCCATCTTTAGCTCCAAATGTCTAAAGCTCCTGCTTCTTTATGGCTGAGTAGTACTCCATTGCATAAGAAAACCACGTCTCTATCCGTTTGTCAATTGATGGGCATTTGGGTTGTTTCCAAGATGTTCATATATCACTGTGGTGTGATGCTTTTAATTCTTTTGGGATGATACCAAGAAAAGGTATAGCTGGGTCAAAGGGAATCTCTAGTTTTAGTGTTTCTGAGAAATCTCCACACTAATTTTTTTTTAGTTTTTTAGCTTTTGTTTTTGTTTTGGTACTGGGGATCAAACTCAGGACCTTGAACTTGCCCTTTAGTTTTGTTGTTGTTGTTTGTTTTTGATACTGGGGATTGAACTTGCACTTGCAAGGCATGAGGCAAACCACTGAGCTAAATCCTCAGCCCCAGTCCTTTAGGTTTTAAAATGGAAAATTTTTATTAACATTTAAACTCTGCTCATACAAGGCCATGTGAAAATTCTTAGTTTGTACATTTCTATAATTTCTACATAGTTAAAATGGTGTATAATATAATTTAGCTTTTTATAATACATCATTTCAATACATTAGTTCTGTTAAACATAAGCACTTATTAAAAAAAAAAACATGGCTGGGGATTTAGCTCAGCGGTTTGGTGGCCTGCCTTCCAAGTGCAAAGACCCAAGTTCAATCCCGGGTACCAAAAAAAACCATAAGCACTTATTTTCAAACCCAATACTTGAACAGTTCCCTCTGTACATACGTTAGCAGGGCTAAGTAGCACACTTAGCCTTAATTACCATACATAGCTCCTCATTAAGAGGCATATGATCTGAGTATTAACTGGCAGTTGCTGAAGTTTGGTAGTTTTATGCAGAATTTTCTTTTTGCTTTGATCACAACACAAAACCTTTAAGGATACTGAAATCTGATGAGTCCAA